AAGACAATACAAAACAAAACAGTTGTTTTGTGAACAGCGAGGTCGAAGTAATTAAATTTCATGCAGATTTTTGTTCTGCAACCAGTCCTCTGCCCACAGCACTCACTCACACTTCCTCTCACTGCTCCCTGCCACCCTGTACCCTACAACACTCCCTCTCCTTCACTTTAGGGTAGAACTCACAGACCAATTTGGTGCCAAACTGCAGCACTTGCTAGAGCTGGTTTGTCAGTGACTGAATAGGTCACACAACTGTTGGACTTCCTTATAGTGTGAAGGTGCCACTTACAGCTGGTTCCTGCACAGCAGGCCTAGTAAGTTTTTGTGACAAAGATACTTTCTTAACGAATTTTTATTATCTTTTACTCCCTTTGAAAACTTCAGGCAAACAGTAAAACCCTTTAGTTGCTTCTTCACCAGAAATGGGAGGTATAAACCAGAAAAAGGGTATAAATTTTAGAGAGATCAGAACTTACAGTCTTCATACAACCTTAAAGACAATTTCCAATTTATCACAGAATGGTTTGGGATGGAAAGGGCCTTAAAGATCATCTTGTTCCAACCTCGCTGCCATGGACAGGGAACCTTCCACCAGACCAGGTTGCTCAGAGCCCCCTCCAACCTGGTCTTATAATGCTACAGCCTGCCTTACACTGTTAGGATTTAAACCTGCACTAAGAAAACACCTTTTCCTCAGCGACATGCCTTTGCATTAACTTCACAATCCACAGTTTCAGCAGCAAAACCATAACCCTTAAAAACAACAGTTTGTTTTGTGTGAGGCCACACAAACTTTTAGCACAGGGCACCTCTGACCAGGATGCTGCTGTGATGACCACAAGTGTCATTTACACCCAGTTCAAAGCTAAACCATTACAGAACCATCAGGCACAGCTAAATTAGTGCTCTGGGACCCTCTGCTGCACCGAGGATGTTTCAAATCAATGACTTGATAGAGCTGTACCATTATGAGGAGAGGCTGAGGGAGCTGGGGCTGTTCAGCCTGGAGAAGAGGAGGCTCAGGGGAGACCTCATCACTCTCTACAACTACCTGAAAGGAGGTTGGAGCCAGGTGAGGGTTGGTCTCTTTTCCCAGGCAACTATCAGCAAGACAAGAGGGCATGGTCTCAAGTTGTGCCAGGGGAAGTTTAGGTTAGATATTAGAAAGAATTGCTTTACAGAGAGGGTGGTCAGACATTGGAATGGGCTGCTCAGGGAAGTGGTGGATTCTCAGTCCCTAGAGGTTTTTAAGGTGAGACTGGATGTGGCACTTAGTGCCATGGTATAGTAACTGCAGCGGTAGTGGATCAAGGGTTGGACTTGATGATCTCGGAGGTCCCTTCCAACCCAGCTGATTCTCTGATTCTATGAAAAGTGGATGAAGGCTGTGTGTGCGTTTCTTGCAGATTTCCAGATGTGTGTATATACACCACCTCAAAGACACTGGCATCAACAAACCCGAAACTTCAAGGTCACAACAAAGAAGCAGCCCAAAGACAAAACTCCCAGTTCCCACGCCTGTAGCACCGAGAATCCCGAAAAACCAAGGCGCGTAAGTAACGCCCATACGCGAACAGCCTTTCCTAAATAAAAAGCAGGGGTGGGAGGGCTGAAAGCGACGTGACGAGCACTGAAGAGGGAGCAGCAAACACAGCAATTACGTTCAATGTCTCTAAATCGCCCGTTTGATCTCGGTGGGGAAGAGCCCGGAGGAGCCCACGGAGCGCCCGCGGCCCCGGAGGGGCAGCTCCTGCCGCCGCCGCCGCCGCCGCCGCCGCCGCCCCCCGGCCCGGCGCGGCCCTCCCCAGCCCGGCCCGGCCTTTGCCGCGGTGCGGGCGCTGACCTGATCCTCCTCGGTGATGTCGATGAAGGCCGGGACGCTCATGGCTCCGAGCACGCCGCGCTCCGGAAAGGCGGATCGCCTTCCGCCGCCGCGCCCGCCCGGCTCCCCTTCCGCTTCCCGCCGCCAGCGGGCGGGGCCGCCATCCCAGCGCCATCCCACAGCCCGGCCCGGCCCGGGCGGAGTGTGATCCTCGGGCTGGGCCGCGGCACCCACTGCCTTCCTCCCCCTTTAACAGTTTAAGTGCGTTCCTAGTGATTTTTCCCGGGACGGGATGAATAACACATTTCGTTTAGGCGTGTCGGGAGTGAAAGGTGGTCGGACCAGTTGCCGGTCCCCTGATCCTGAGCTTGTCTCAGCCCCTGAGCTCACACTGCAGTTTAAGAGTGGCGAGCCGTCGCTCGGGGTTGCCGATGTGGTTGCACGTGTGTTCTCCCTAAAGAAATTTCCCGTTCGGCTCAGGAAGACTCCCGCGAACATAGGATGACTTTCTCCATGTCGCAAAGGCTAAAACGAAAACAAAGAAAATTATAAAATCGCTAAGGTCGGATCCAAGATCACCATGACCAAGCAGTGACCCAGCACTGCTGCCTTTACCGCTGAACCGTGTCCCCAGGCGCCACATGCAGGTGTTTTTTGGGACATTTCCAGTGATGGTTACTCCACCACTTCCCATTCCAGTACCTAACCGCCCTTTCAGTGAAGAAGTGTTTCCTAATATCCAATCTAAACCTGCCCTGGTGCAGCTTGAGGCTGATTCCTCTTGTCCTGCCCCTTGTTACCTGGGAGAAGAGGCAGACATCCACCTCACTGCCACCTCCTTCCAGGTTGTTGGTCACACCTCTCAGTGCCTCTGTTTAGCAAATAGAGATTGCTCTGCTGTCAGTGAAACACTCAGTCCCAGTTTTACCAGTGAGATTTGAGATATAAATATGGAAACACAACTAAAAAGGGGCCTTAAGCACAATACTTGGTGTTCTCAGTGGTTTGTATTTAGAACTTCAGACACTCATCGAGTATCAATGACAGCCTTGGACTTTTCAGAGAGGTTTGCCAATATATTAGAAGGTAACTAGAAAGAACTAGCCACTGATAATGAAAACAAGGTATGTATTTAAAAGGATTCCACTGCTGTGCTTGAAAAGTATTTTTGTGGTCCTGGAAATTCCCTATGAAAATCTTCATCCCACTGGCTGGTGGGCGGGAGTTCCACCCCTTCTGCAAAAGCTGAAAAGAATTAATTCTGCTGTGGAGTTGATGGGCAATTTGTAGGGATATAAAATCCCTACTCTGAGGGATATAAAAGCCACACTGAGGTTGGGGGGAATATGCAAAGGACAGCCTTTGCATCTCTTGGCTCTGCACTCTGACCTTTTCACTTTTGTATCAACGCTGACACACAGAGTGTGATTCTATCCATAGCCTGTCTTTGTTTTGGATCATCAGACATTTGGGGGAATGTTTCTAATACTGGTTTTCTATAAAATATGTAGAAGATACTGAAAGCACTAGCAGTTTCAACCTTTTATCAACAAAGGCTGAATTAATTTTTAGTCCCATCACCTTATTATCATTACATCCACCATAGTTTGCAGAGATAAAAGTGTCTTTTAAAAGCTTCCTATGTTTCCTAAGTTAGTAAGACAGCTGTGCAAAACCTCTTTCTTCTTTTAATATAAACCTGACCAAATAGTGACTAAACTTCTTTATTGAGTCTAATACCAGAGCAGGGGTAACGCCTGCTTCTGAGTTTCTGCAGCACTGAGCACACTGAACCTTAAAAAGGCCCATGCTGCCTTTATTAAATGTCATGGCTCAAATTATTTTTTATCATCTACGTTGTTGTGTGACTTTTGAATAATAGTTCAACTTACAATTTTTCTATCATCCAAATCCTGCCTAATTAATTTATTCTACTTCAGGCAGTATTTTAAAAATATTATCCTTACTGTAACTGATTAATTATCTTTACTAAGAGTGGTTGAAAACAGAATATTTTAATACTGTCTGATTGATAGACTTACAAGTATTTTGTATTTCACAGGTCAGCATCCTGGAAGTTATAGATAGGTGTAGAGATAGGTCTCATCTTTATCTGATCTGGAAGGGGATCTGATTTTCAGAGAATGAGAGCTTGAGCAGTTTTAAAGTGCAGATGACTTTCATCTAGTACTGTTTAACATGGTCCTGTGAGAATAAAGGTGATTTGGGATCCAGCACCCCAGGGGGGATAGGGATACGTTATATAATTTATTTGTACACATCTTTAGGAGACATTTCAGGTGCTGAAGTACATTCCTAATGCCAGTTTGCGTTCTGGAATGTGCCTACATGCCTTCAAGCTGCCATGAATCTCCTAGAGATCCCATACTGTGTCTGAGATTCCTCTGCAGATGCCTCAGACACCCCAGGGCATATAAATGTCCCAAGTCACACGGGGACCTCCCAACCCCAGTGCCTCTTTTGTGTTTAGGTAGTGTACCCAGGCGGAGGTTTGTCATGTATTATTCTGAATGTACAAAAATAAAATAACCATTGATCACACTGGGTAGACAGGACATGACTCTAAAGAGCTCTGCTGAAATATCCACATATGGTCTGTTGCATGATACTTTATTTGTCCCAGAAGAATTAAGATGATAGATGATAGCTGGGGTTTGAACTTGTGCATCAGGAAGGCCACTTTGAATATAAAGGGGGCAGTATGTGTTTTGTGTAACTACCGATGGAAAGAGGATGTAGTGGGGGAATGGGTTTCAGTTTTATTGGAATTATGACATTTCTGTGGAAACGAGGCAGTTGTTTATAGTCCTGTCTGCAGTTCGTGAAGCCAGTTCTGGAACGGGGCGTGGATGGGGTTAAAGCGCTGCCGAGGGAGCCAGAGGTCCCTGCGGAGGCTGCCGGGACTGGTGCTCCCAGTGCTCCCGGGATGGGGAGCCCCGGGGCAGGCAGGGCTGCAGGGAGGGGCAGGAGCAGCACCTCGGGGACACCCCGGAGCAGGAACCCGAAGGAGGTCACCACAACTGGCTAATGTGTGTTTGTCTGTGTGCGTCTGTAAACACATGGAGAAAGTCTTAAAACCCAGACAGGACTTAACTGCTGAAGGCAAAAGATGAATTTTGGCTGGCACCCACTGTAAATTGTTTGGTTTCGTTTCTGTAGGCAAACCAGAGAGAGAGGGAGCCTAAAGAAGTGATATTCCACCCTGCGTGCTTTGAACGTGGTGACCGAATCAAAAACAAAGTCCTTCAGGTGACACATCTTTAAAAGCATTTTTAATGGAGGCTCTTTGAAATCAGCAGACAGCTTTTGAAAAGAAAGGGTTGAAGGCTGACTCAAGAAACTGAGCCTCTTTTGTTAAAAGCATCGATGAAACAGATCTCCAGCACAGAAAAGAAATCCAGGCTCTACGATGGCATAATTTTTCCTCTTCGGATTTTTTTTTCCTTACAGTTTTCTCTCTGTAGGCAGGGCTGAGAGCTGAGTTGTCTCTCTGGGAAGCTGTGTAAGGATAAGTGGAATTGCAGCCCCCTTTCCTCAGCGCAATCCGTTTTGTGCTGAGTGCCCTCTGGAGGTCTTGGGCACGCAGTGACCCGAAGGAATCCCGGGTACCGCGACTGTGCCTGGGCTGTTCATGCCTCCTTCCTTCAGAGGTTTTCCCTCTCTTTTTTCCTCCTTTGGGAGAGTTTTTCTAGCCAATCTAGACGGGGGGGAGCACAGTTAAGTCAGCTGTTAGCTAAAGTCAGAATTATGGCCTATGAGTTTACTCAGAAAAGGTAAAAAATAATTCAAAACTTTGTCCAAATTCCCACTCAGCCAAACTAAATCTGTTTCATATTTAGGAGCTTTGATTAGCTTTATCAATGCATAGAAATGTGCTTCTTACTTATGTTTCTGGTTTTTCCCTAGATCTCTCTGGGGCTAAAGGGAAACTGCTAAAATACCCTTTTAGCCTCTTCTTGCAAGACATATCAGAGATCTCAGGGGAAGCTTGTTGTCCTTCTTCTTCCAGCCAAGTTCCATAGTCAGAGGAACTCTGGATAACTTCTGTAAGTATAGTAACTTTTGGGTTTATATCTGATTTTCTTGTAATTTGTAAATTCTCTACTTTTGTCCACTTACTCCAGTTCCCCTAACTGTAGAGTTAAAAAACCCCTGCACTCATCCTGACCAACATGCTCTCTTCATTCAAAATATGTAGTAAAATTTCTGAGTTGAAGAAGCAAACTTCAATATTGCATTATTATTAATAATATTGGGTTCTGACATGGAGTTTTGCCTTTGAAAACTATTTAGCAATATATTTTTTTTTTTGACTCTTGATACGCTTATTTTGCTGCTAGTGTAGCAGGTGTTTTTCTTAACCATTTTTAAGGAGAAATCCTAAGTTTAGAGGAAATGAGCACTCAATTATTTAAATTTCCTGAGATTAGAGGAAGAACACTTTGCCAAACAATGCCTCTTCACTTCAAAACCTCTCCCCATAAATTATGTTAGGAGATCTTATTAAAAGTCTGTAAAAATTTCCTATTAAAAATGGTTGATTGCAGTCCAGACCATCACAGCTTTTGTGCTTTCAGTGAAATACCACAGCTGTCGCAAAGAAATATATTGTGAGACAAAAGGTTTTGTTTCCTTAGTCATAAATTATTTTTGTGATATCTGAGGTAAGATAAAACTTTCACTTACGTTTGAGTGAAGGAAGATTCCAGTGATAACTTGTTCAAAAATCTATAAAAAGAATATAAGAATGTAGATCTAGATAGCAAATTAGAATCAGACTTCCTTTTTGTTTAAGGAAAGCAATTATTTCTGAAGTCAGTGAAGATTATAACCAGGGATAATGGCATAACTTTGCAAAGCACAGTGCCTTTATCTCAGTAGAACCTGAAGTTTAAGCTTTCAAGTCTGACCTTTGAGAACTATACAATAGAAACCTTTAGTGTTGGACAGTTTTTAAACCAAAGTTAAAAAATAGTAAGTACTGTATTTCCTGATTATACTATGTTGTATTATGCTATAACACGTTATATTATATTACAATAAACCAAAAATTAGACTTTTTTATATTTTAAAAGAGTATCAAACAAATTGGTTTTGACCATACTTGTTTTTCTATCAGCAAATGAGTTTTCTGCTAAGGGATTCTGCAGAAACAGCAGCCCTTTAGAGAAGGAAAGGTTCAATGTACACTGAATAGACTGTGAAGTGTTTGCTGTCAGGACTGGATTCCAACTATGTTCATCCAGTCAAGGAGTAGAAGCATATTCCAGGTATGTCATGAAAATGTGAAGTTACAGCATATATGCTAAAGATTATTTTTCAAAATAATTTGCCAAATAATTTTGAATGAAAGATAAGTTAGGGCATTCACTATTTGCTCATCCGTCATTTCTTTATGCATAAAGGTCAAATTTCTCAGCCTCCTCCCCTGTTAGAGAGATAACTGAATAAAGAAACATAGTACAGGTGCTAGAGTTTGAGAGATATTTTAGGTTATGTGTGGAAAAAATCCATATTCTTTTTCTAACTATCAATAGCATTTATAACTAAGCCAGTTCTCTTTACCCGGTGCCATCACAAGAGGTTACTGGAATTTGCTTATTTGCATGTTTAAATCAGGAGTGTACAAAACAAAAACACAAGATGGCCTTCTCTTCTGCTGTGTAATTTAGAGAAATGGATATGCAGCCATGATCCCTTAATAGCCCCCTATTTTTTTCCCCTCTGAGAGACTTTTCTCATAAATTAAAATTCATCTTCATAGTGCTTTTTTATGGCAACATGTGCTCTGCATTCTTCAGGTCAAGCTTACTCAGACTGAAAGACCTATGAAGATCAGTATCTTTAGCATAAGGTCTAAAGCAAAATAATCAGCACTTGGGAATTATTTCCCTTGTGAGGATGAGGAAATATATTTCATGTCCCTTGTACCTGGGACAGGGACAAGGTGAGTCAGGTTTTTGGGAGACCAGTGGAGATGAGGTGCCTCAGGCACACAATTCCATACTGGTCCAGCCATTCTCAAAGGGTGTGTGGGGCACCTGGGGGTCAGGGAGGAGAACCAAAAACCTCTGTAGTCATCTGTACCCTGTTAGGGTCTAGTTCTGTGTTCTCACTCATGCTGAATGGTCTTTTACAAGTAATCCCACTGATGTCAGCGAGACTTTTCTGTAATAAAATGCTGTCTGACAAGAATATGGATATCAGAATCTGGCCCTCTGTGTACTAATTCCATTTTAATGAATACTTAAGTGGAGTTATTATTAAAAAAGTCTATTTCCTAATATTCAATAAATCAAAACTATAAAATCGGTTTACCAGTTGTTGCCACTCTAGTCAAAGCCAGTTTCTCTCATATTGAAAATAATAGTACATACTGTCTCCATTCAGGAGGGATTAATTGTAATACTTTTATCTGTTTCATAAGATTTATTTCTAATAATGAAGAGCAGAGAAAAAGTAGGGGAGCTTTAAACATTTATTGTTTTTATTAAAGCGCCATATATTCATGAGATGTTTCATAAACACGGAATCTGCTTAACATGAGAAACTTGTTTCATGAATGAGCAACTTCAAAACAGAATTTTTAAAAAGCATTATTCATTTCTCTGATCATATCCCTTTAATTGTGTAAGATGGAGCCTCGGGCACTATGTGATAATGCTGAGATACACATTAAAAGCCTGCTAAGGTTTTGCAGGCCTGTCATCTGATGAAGATTGTTAGAGCAGTATTGTGACGTGCTGCTACTGGGGAAACTACCTGACATCAGCCCCCACTGTTGTGAAACACAGTGGGACTATATGGAAAAATATTTTGGATTTGAGGTGGTTTCTCCCTACGTGTAGAAGAAGACAGATCTGCTTAAGTGCCATGGTGACATTCACACCAAAGGGTAGGAAATATGCTTATGGTGCTGTTTGATTTTGTTGCACGGTAACAAAATACAGATAAAAAGCAGCAAAGGGAGGGCAAAAAGAGAAACTGAATTCTCTTTAGTCAAAGATAAATCTGCCATTGTATTGAGAGCCTGGCAGAAAAATTCTAGCAGAGTATTATTTCCTTGGAATTTGCTAAATCTTTGAAATCCGAATGTTTCACAAGGGTGGAGGATTGTTCAGCTCCCTCAAGACGTTCTTCTGGGCAACAGGCAAGTTTTCTGATTTTATGCTTTTACACATGCCAGGTTTCCAGAGGCTCTAGCTCTTATGCAGTCCACTAGACACCCTGATGTGGGGCCAAGGATGCCAACTCCTCCATTGCTCTGCAGCAGCCTACCAAGTTGCTTTTACAAATTATGCGTTTTCTCCAACCATAAATATTGCTCCTAAAAGGGATACTGAAATGAAGATAATATGACTTTTCTGTAACAGGTCTTCTAATGTCAGCCATTCTGTTTAAAGTGTTCAATTTTCAACAGAATTCAAGATCTACACAGTATATTCTACCTCCTGCAGACTGTAGTTGTTAAAAGAAAATAAATCACTTAAACAGGGTCATGAGCAACAAAGGCCAATGTGGGTTCAAAGTTTACAGGTCTCTGCATTTATCAGGTAGAAATATGCTACATTTCACTATTTCATAAAATATCCTTTTATGAAAAAGCCATCAATCTTTGTATGGCCTACTAAAACTGATTTCTCAAATGAAAGAAATGAATGATGACACCAAATCAAAAAATCGTTTATGAGTTTATATTTTTGCAAGACCACCATGACTTTCACATACGTTTTCAATTTTGGGAAGGATGTGATTATCATGTGGATATGTTTTACTCCCACCATTTGTACTAAGGGATCTGTCAGAACTGTGTACCCTTCCCTGGGCAGTTCAGGATTTGTTCAGATTTTTTCATTAATCTATAGTGTTTTTTATCCAGTGATCGTTATCATTTCTGTACACTGTCTACAGATTTTCTGGGTTATATATAGATATGTATAAAATCACATCTATCATATACAAGTTCACATTTAAACTAAAACTGCATCTAAGTGACTTTCTTATTTCTCAAAGGTTTTTAGCATTTTTGTGGAATGATTTTTGTGTGATTTCTGTCACACACTCTACAAAACATCATATTAATTACAGATTTTTCATTATCCTTCTGATCTTTCCTTACCATTGCCAGGCTTCCTCTGGGAGTCACCAAACTCCTTGACCAAAACTGGACAATTTAAGACACTTGAAAACAGTATTGTATATTTATGCTTCAGATATTGTAGAACTACTGGGTTTGGAGCAGGAATAATATGAAAACCTACTTTATTTCTCATCTGATAATGACAACCAATACAACAACCAGCCTGCTGCACTGGAATAGGGAAAAGTGATTTCTGTTCTGGTAAATGGTGTGGTCTCCCCTTGGGTTTGCACAGAGAAAATGAGCTTGGCCTTTCTGGGTCTCCAGTGAAAACAGAGACAAACAAATTAATACGATTTATTAAGTATCAGTCTCATAAGAAGAAGACTGTATGGGGAAGTGGATCTGAACTTCTGAGAAAGAACTTGGTGCTTGGGTTTTAAAGAGGGGCATTTTGCTCCATTTGCTGAGGAGTTCATTTTGGAAAAAACCCTGTCATTCTTGCACAGTTTTTTTAGGAATTTTACTTTTTTTTAAAGCTTATTTAGGAATTATCTTTTTTTATGTATTTTTGATTCGGTGATGAAACTGCGAAGTGAAGGAATGTTCTGTGCTTCCTTATTAACTGAGAAGTTAGACTTTTAGTCAAATAATGCATCATATATTATCCCTATCAACCTCCTCCTCTAGTCCCTCCTAGGGGGAAAAAAAAAAAGACAAAAGCATTAAAAGAATGGAGTTTAGTTGTAAATAATGGAATTTAGTTGTAATTAATGTAATTCTTTTGGGAAGAACCTTTTGCCAAGTCACACACAGAGTGTTTGATGCGGAGTCAGCACTGTCAGGTCACAAACCTTGCTGCACCATGGCTGGCACTGCTCTCCTGCAGCCTTATGGTGGTGACAGGGTCTCACACAGTCATTTCACAGCCTGCTGTGAAATACAGCTCATGCCACCACCAAAGAC